CAGGTTCAAGATTCATAGTTCAATATACTCATATCTATTGCTAGACACAATAGCCGTCATAAAATTGCAGATTAAGTAATTCTAAATAAAAAATCCTTTACCATTTTGCAAATAAGTACGCAAACTTTCAAGTTATCAATTAAAAGAGTCTTTGAATGAGGTCATTTGCAATCATTAATATCGCTTAATAACTGTTGCGAATTTTGCAAAATGGGCTTTTTTTCTCAATTTGGTCTGATTAATCTTCACAATTTTTCGTTTTCAAAAAGATCTCGGACACCCTGTATACGTGGATTAGGCGTTGCAATGATGTACAACTTGCAATTGACAACTTGCCACTCCGCAACTGGGCGTTGTAATTTATTCTAGCCCGACCCTTAGTTCTTTCTGCGCTTGAGAGTAAACTATACGGACCACTTTATTCATCATTTGTCAAACTATATATGACTTTTCTCTAAATTGTTTAATTTTATAATAACTCGATCGTGGATGACCACAACAACGGTCAAAATATTTCGATAGTTCATATTAGTATGTGCACTGTAGTAAATGTATATATTTTTACGTTAAAAACGACCGGTTTTTTATTCTTTTTATTATTTGACTCTAATTGTCCATTACACTGTAATTATTGTTTTCAACTAACTTAAGTTTCTATATAAAATCATATCTTTTTACCGGATATGTAGAATTTCAGTCTGTAACGTCAATGACACAAGAAATGTATTTCTTATAACGTATATATCTTTCAACTTTTTCAGTTTTTTAACTTTTGGTAAATATAATCTTAGAATTTACAGATCTTGAATCTTCGAACTAACGATTTTGGTATTTTTTATATTTCTTTACTGAAGTTATTTTTTCGAATCTCCTCGTCGTCGAATTTATCAATTTAATTTTCACATTTCTTCTAATTCTGTTCTATCCTAGACTTTTGCGCTCTTAATTAAGTAGTTACGCTTTGAGGCGCGAGAACAATTATTTATTTTTAATCGGGAATTTATGAAGATTTATTCTAGAATGTAACATAATCCTCGTCGTCGTTGCAAATTAGATACTTATCTCGTTGTTTCACAAAGCAGATGGAAAATTAATTCTCATCAGGATAGTGAAACATTTTAATTTAGTTATCAGCTGCTCATTATAAATTATTCACCGCTATTTAACAACGCCATTACAATGTATTCGCGCTCATTTGTCTTGAGCGCGAATGATCGCGATGAAAATATGTTTGTACATCGACAAGGTGTGCTTTCTCTCTCTCTTTCTCTCTTTCTCTCACGATTGTAATCTATAATGCATCGTAAACTCCTATGGTATCGCGGCCGGCCAGGATAAAATGCGCGCCCGCATCATGTCGCACCGCGTCGTTCTCCCGCATCCTCCACGAAGATGGACTGCACAAATATATCAGGGACACAACGTGCTCTCGTGCGAAGAAATATCATAACAATTAAAAATGTGTCTCGCTTATTTCGAGCGCACGAACGCTATTACTTTTTATTGCATATCTCAAACTCCACCTCAAATTGCGTACGAAGGTGCACACTCGAAATGCCAAAGGCGCGTGAAACTTCGGGCCTTTGGACTCGAAATATCAATGTCACACACCTCTGTTGCCGGTTTCAAAAGCGACACCTCCGATTGGAAAGCTACCGTGCGCCTACCTTTCCCCGGTAAATCGAAGAAAGAAGTCGTCGATTGTTTTCAGGGCTCGGATCTGCGCGCGGCTGTTCGTCGAAATAAGTTATCCGATTGGCCGCGCGACAGGTTTATCGGACGACTCTGTCACACACGGATTCGAGAATGCGTGCATATATGTGCGTGCACGCGTGACTGCGCTCGCTTTGTGTGTATACGCGTGCACACGCGCACGCGCGGGGGTACTCGAAAGTGCATGCGTGTGTGTGCATGTGTCGGGAGCCTGAAGCCGGTCGCGCGAGCGAACGGGACTTAAAAGTCGGGACTGGCGAGATAGGCTCGAAAATGCCCAAAGACTCTCCGGGCCACCTGCAGCCGTTAAGTTTCAACAGTTGCGGCACCGCAGCCGCCTCCATATTTCATATTAGCGATAATATATAAGCCCGGCTACCGTCACACACATACACACGCGTGCGCTCTCTCTCTCTCTCTCTCTCTCTCTCTCCTGCTCTCACTCTCGCTCTCTCCCTTTCTCTCGTTCCCGTCTAAGCTGTCCTTCCGTTTGTCGGTTCGTCGTCCCGCCGCGAAGGCCCGCTCTTCTAGGATCATTCCTGATGTATGCTAACGAGCTAGCTCGACCGTGCCACTCGATTTTGATAATTAGCTCGTCGGCCGTGTCTATTGAGCGCACATCTATCCGCGAGAGTATTCGTTTGTGCGATTGAGTAATAGAAATTTCCTCCGACTTTGTGATCCTTTGGATGCATATCAAATTTAGATGAATTTGGAAAGGACCATAGCGCAAAAGATGTTCGATGGCACAATTGAGAATTTCTATTAATGTCGGAAATAACGGCGGGGCGGGGGGAGGAGAGACGATATCATGGCGTAAAAATGTCCTCGAGGATTTATTCTGGTTTGGAGCTCATTTTAGTCTCACAATTCTGATCAACATTGATACATGTAAATGTAAACGTATCGTACGTGCATATCGCATTTCGCAAATGATTTCCATGATTTATTATTCGTTAACCATGCAATTTGGATATACGTACTCGCTGACGCAAATGTGCGATTATCCATTTATTGTCTTCCGTGGCGAATTTTGACTGGTAAATGTGCAGAATAGCAGCTCCGATTTCTCTGATCTTCACATATGTTATCAAGGACATGTTTCAGAGTAACCTCCTGCAAGTTTTAAGTGGCGATTAGCTTTCATAAAAGAGTTACGAACAAAAGAAGTTTGAGGAAATAAGTATATCTGTGAGCAGCAAATGGAGTATATTTCTTAAATCTTTCGCCTTATACAGCACATATGAGTGGGGGAAAGACTTTGTCAAAATCATCGTTACCTAACCTAACTTATGCATTTTTATACAGGGTGTCCCAGACCACATGTACCATCCGATTTTTTTGTAAACGCGACACTTTAGGGAAAAATGTTTCAGACAAAAGTTGTATGGTTTCAAAATGGACATGTAACAACTATATCATTTTGTTTAGAGATGGCACTACTTTCGAGATATTCACTGATCATTATTTTTCTTAAACGGGAACCTCAATTTTTTATTATATCATCATTTTCTATCAATTAACTTTAACAACTTTTATTTGAACTTTTTTTATTTGCCTAATATTTTTTGAGATATTTAACGGAAACTTGGTAACTTTTTTAATATTTAACTTACGATATCTCGCTATTTGTCGGAAAAAAAATAATACTAGACTTTTTTACTCCATTTGGTCTCAAGAATATATTGTTACAATAGCGTCCTGACTTTTGTTAATTTCATGATTTTGAAATTTCCGAAGGTCAATAAGTGTTTAACATTTTTTAAAGTATATTGTGTCAGAAAAATAAGCTCTATCTATAAAACTTCCTTTTCTAATAACTTTTTAATAAACAAAACTCACAATACTATACGAACTTAGGTCGCACACAGGTCTGTTATTTCTTCAAACTTCTTTCGTCCGCAACTCTTTCATAAAAGGTGACCACTACCTAAAACTTGCAGGAGGTTACTCTGCATCCTTGTCCTTGATAACATATATGAAGATCAGAGAAACCGGAGTTGTACCAGTATTTTGCATATTTCCCTTTTGACTCGAATCATTATTCTACTTTACGTAGTCGCCGTTTCGACCGCACCGCAATTAGTCTCGGCGAGGTGTCCTGCAACGAAGATCGCGAGACTGAAAACGCGTCGAGCTGGAGAAAAGCGAAGCGACGTTAGGAACGACGTCGGATGCGCGCGCGCGGGGGTTACTCGCGCGTTACACGATACTGTCGCGGGGAATTTGTTTCGTCGCGCCACATTGTTTCGGACAGGAAATCGATACGGAACTACCTACCAACCAACCAACCGACCAACCAACCAACCAACCAACCAACCAAACAACCAACCAACCAACCAACCAACCAACCGACCAACCCTGGCCGCGGCCCGGTAGCAACTCGCGCTGTTATCTACAGTATCTACTCGCGACGGAGAGAAGAAGATCTCTTTCTCCCTCTCTTTCTCTTTCACTTTAGTCTGTTCTGGTCCTGGCGAGACTTTCAAGTGACATGCTACGTAGTATCTTTAAAAAAGATGATGGAATGATGAATATCGAATTTTCGTATTTGTAACGTCATTGTCGAAATGCAAAATTATTTGACATTGAAGAGGGGGGGTGAGAGAGAGAGAGAGAGAGAGAGAGAGAGAGAAAGAGAACGGAATTTATCCTTTTGCCGCATTGATTTTCTTCCCGCGGCATACTTCGTCGTAGGATTTCTTCCCCTGTATTTTTTTTCACTTACGGAGATTATGGAGTTATGGAGATTGAGAAGATTGCCAATCTTACTGACCCATTTCTCAAAAGTATAAAAATCATACGTGCAGAGCTATGATAGTTTCTGCTTCTAATCTACCTGAACGATAACCGGTATGATGTGGTATCGTTTGGACGCAAGGTAGAACGAGAGTAAGAGAGGAGGGGAGGAGGAGGGGCGAGCGAAATATATTAACTCGCAATTACGCGTAGAGACGCATACGCTAAATAATTACGCGATAACTTACGATAATCGGCGACTTAAGGTGTGCGTTCGTGCGAAACTTCGTCGCCGATCACGGGCGATAATCGTATTTTATTATCGGGATATCGCGATCGCGATCGTCTCTCTTTCCTTCTCTGGAGAGAGGGGGAGAGAGAAAGAGAGAGAGAGAGAGCGCAGCATGCTCGGCTCCGCCCGGAGAGAAGTAGTTCGCGATACTCGGACTTGGAATTCATTAGGTGGTGGAATCAATTTTTCCTCTCTTTACTCCTGTCGAAAGAGCGATAATCGTATGTCTGTGACCGTTTGCCTGCTTATGTTGCAGATTGTGCTCAACTCGATGCACAGGTATCAGCCGAGGATACACTTGGTTCTTTGTCGACACACCGACAACAGCGACATAAAAATCACCGACCTTCAGAAGGAGGAGCACAAGACGTTTATCTTCCCGGAGGTCATTTTCACAGCCGTGACAGCATATCAAAATCAGTTGGTAAGTTCACGGGGATAATCGAAAGGCTTATAACGTCGACTCAATGAACTACGAGGCAAACTTTTGCTAGAAACTTCATATGGAGATCTGTAAGCAAAAATTTGAACATCTGATTTTGGGAATCGAGAAATTGATGAAAAACCAAGACTATCGGATTTATAAGGAGATAAGAGAATAGTTCTCCAAAGGAATAGTTTTTTATTGCATAAGGCAGAAATGAATTTGAATTTCTTTAACACGTTGACTGCTCAGTGGGTCTTTTATATGTTTCAAAGTGAATTTTTGATTAACGATTATGCCCGAATTTGTGACAGTTGCACGTGTTTTTCCGTTTTTAATGAATTAACTATAATACAAGTACGTATTTTCCTATAAATATACTCACTCTAAATTTTATATATTAGTGGTTATAATAAGTTATGAATAAAATTAAAAGTCATAGTAAGTATTGAAAACATCATGATTACAAAATACTAACGACGATACTACGAAAAATTATTCGTCGAAATTTTTGTCGACAGTTAATGTCAAGTGTCTATTTGTTAGATCTATGGAGTTATTATTATTTAATACTTTTTCAGAATTAAACTGTCAACGAAAAAACAAAACTGTATTCATGATTTACTAAATGATATACAGTCCTTTGAGAAAATATATTATGAATATATTATATTAAAATTTTTCAATGACTTATATGAATTAATTGAATTCGAAAAGTATAACAAAATTAAAATACCAAATATTTAAACTTTCTAATCAAATAAACTTGAGTACATATATATCATTAACTTATTAATTTATTCTTGCGATGATGTTACATTCGGTTATTAATAACATTTATCTTACCATCTTTGTCACAATACAACTTGTATTATCGTAAGCGTTTAATATGTATGATGATAAATAATGTGATTAAAATAAATTATATTATCGTGCGTGTTCATTTATGTTATTTGGAAGTCACCAGTGACCCTTATGGCGCCGCTGAAAAGTCAGATGCTAATCGTCATTGACCCCATTCGGCAGGATCAACATATCAATTGAAATTTAACACGGACGAGTTGTAACGTTGCATCTCACAATCTTTCTTTTATCTCTTTCCTCTGACCTTTTGTACTTGGAACGCAAAGTTAACTTAGTTCATTTTGGGTTTCGGCATTTTATTCCATAACTCGGAGTGCCAGCTCGGTGATGATGAAGTTGAGTAGGATTAAAAAATCTGTAAAGCGCAAAAGACCAATGTCGCTCCTGTTTCCGACGAAGGAATGCGTAATTTGCGAGGCCCCGCTTAAATTTGCAGATAACAAGACTGAAGATCGACAGCAACCCGTTCGCCAAAGGTTTCAGGGATTCATCCAGGCTCACCGACTTCGATCGGTAAGTTCGAAAATTCGTGCGGCCAATTTTTCACGGAGATCCGTCACGTTGATCTCTCCGCCTCCTTCGTTCTCGCGAGAGATTCAGGGCGCGTACGCACTTTTAGTGCGCGATCTTCGTCCTGAAGGACGAGCTTGCTCGCGCTTACGCGCGAGGCGTGAGAGCCTCTGATAGCAATCTTTTCTCGGATATATCTAAACTCGAGTCGCGCGCACTCGAGAGGGTAGGAGGTGAAACGTTTCCGAACGAACTCGAAACCCGTAATTATTCGCGCCGCTATCGGCAGCTGATCGGATAATAATTCAAAACTCGATTAAAATATGCCGCGGAGTTAGCCGGCTAATCTGCTCGCGCGCCGCTCGTCTCGCGCGCGCGCGCGCACGCGCGCGCGGCAGCGCGAGACGAGCGATCCCGGCAGAGAACGCTTTTCTGCATAGCGGTTGTAACGAGCAATCATAGTGTCCATTTATAACGTGCGGACGTTGATCGAGCGTTCTCTAAATTAAAACCTATATTTTCAAATGAAATATCTATAATTCTCGTGTCGGCACGGCGTCGACGTCCCGCTTGGAAGGGGTTAATTAAAACGCGATTAGAGTGTCAGCGCATACGTCATCCAGCCCGGCGATTTCCTCGATTTCTTCTCACGAATTAGCTCGGATTCGGAGCCCGAATTAATCGCCTCCGTCTCTGGAAACGGCTCGGATGAAACTGCGAAGTCGGTGCGGTGTGGATTAATCGCTGAGCCGTCACTCGCCGCGGCTAAATTTACGGAAACGGCGCCCGCGCGGCTGAGTTTCGCACCGGGACCCTCCCTCGGACATCGTCGACCGGCCATTCGCTCGGGAGCATGAGAAATACGCAACGAATAAATGCGTCTCTCCGTTTAATTAAGCGAAATTCAATCTATCGACCGATCGGAAATTCGTTTCGCCCTAGCTGACATCGGGCATGTGCGATTCGCGCGGTGTTCTTCGCTCCGCGGCGTTTCGCGCTTCCGGGGCGGTCTCTCGCTCGATCCTTCGGGATTTCGCGTCACGGACATTCCATCCACTATCGACCACGCACGGCTTTCTCCGCTGATTGCGGCGCGTCACGACCAATCATTACATCTCATTATTATTATTATTATTATTATTATTATTATTATTATTATTATTATTATTATTATTATTAGAACGTCGGCATCTTGATCGCGCGCGCAGAGCCTACTAAATTATCGCTTAGATCTCTATCCCCCCCTTCTCTTTCTCTCTCTCTCTCTCTCTCTCTCTCTCTCTCTCTCTCTTCCTCCTTGTCTTGCGTGCTCATGTCCTGGGCGGAAATTTATACAACGTTAAACGCCGAACGCGAGATCCTGCGCGCGCGGCCGTTTGGCTCCGAAATGGGTGTGCGCGCACGCGGCCGATTTCGAGTTATCCGCGATCATCTATCTGCATGAATGACGATGCACCTGCCCGCTCGCGCATTCTCTCTCTCTCTCTCTCTCTCTCTCTTTCTCTCTCTTTCTCCTCTCAGCACGTTTACGACTGGGGCGGATACACGCGTGACAGAAAAATATATATTTATGCGTGCGCGACTAACTCGTGTATATCCTTTCTGTTCGACGCCGCGCCGTCATCGCGAGATCATTGTTAATGCCGGTGTCACGATGTTCACCGGCGGTTATGTGAGCCGCGATTAATCGATTGTCGATGCTTGTCGCCCGTCATCGAGTCTGCGTGAGAAAGTGTCTTTTAACTTTTTCCACCCGGTGTTATGCGCGCTAGTAGATTTCGACGGAATATTTGAGCTATTTATCGTGTGGATGCTCGGAGGGTGATAAAATAAAATCGTTGGAATCGATCGATTCGAGAACCTCGGAGCGAGATGCATTCAGATTTCTACCGATACCGATACGACAGTCTCGCCAAGTGCAGGGGGAAGAAAGTGGGATTTTTCGTTTCGAGGATTTCCGCAGCACGAGCATCGTATCGTACAAAGGACGAGAAGAAACACAAAAGGGACGAGAGAGAACTCGCAAAATCGACTCGGTCAATCGATTAATTTCACGTAATAACTCGAGACAAGTACGAGAATAAGACGGACACACCTCTCGCACCGTTATAAAGTACGGCGCGGTATCAAGATCGAGGGCTTTGCGTTCAACTTTTCGGGGTCTCTCGGCGCAGCTTTACGCTTAAAAATTGATTAGCTCGCTCCGGAAGAAGGAGGAGAAGGAAGAGGCGATAGAGGCGCTTTCGGTCGCGGGGGTCTCGGATTCGGTACCATATTTTATGAAAAACCGTCCGGCGTTCTTGCACCGCCCATCGATCCTCAGAAATATATTAAGGAACGCAGCGCGCGCTAACCGAGCCAGGACTCTCGAGGCGTCACGCCTCTTCCAATTTGCACGTGATCGCAGCTGGGCCGTGGATGCCACTTTCACGAAAAACTCCCGCTTGGATAGTGGCGGTGTAGCCCACTATCTCGCGCGAGATCGGCCGCGATTAATTAGCCCATATTTCAGAACGCCGCCGCGCATAACTCGCGCAATTAAAGCGCGCATGTTTTTTCTGTCGCGCGTGGCGACCCCGAAAAATCCGCGGCGCGGTCGCCGCGCTGGTGCGCTGCGCCTCGCCCTGGTATCGCTAATGACTTTCACGATCGACGCACCGAAAACTCTAACAGCGCATTTAAGTGTCGCGATTACCGCCTCATTACGATCGGATAAACAGTTTAATTGCGTTCGGCCTCTCTTGTGCGGGGCAGGTGTCTCACGACACGTCACGTCGCCAGCCATGCTGAAAGGACGGAAAGGAGCAATGTGAAAAGAAAAAAAGAAAAAGGACCGACAGGGACGGACGCGAAAGGGAGTAGAAAGGGAGAAGGAGAGGGATGCGATTACCAAATAATCTCTTGAGCTTCGTTTCATTTCCGACGAGAGCATATCATGGAAGACGGATCATTCGCGCAGATTATCAGCGGACACGTGAACTCTCGGCCGCAGCGTGCAGTCTAAACGCTCGAGCACTCGATTCCATAGTTGGATTATTCATTCGGCAGTGCGATTTTCGTGCGCCGACAGACCGAGTCGAATGTGAATCCTCCGCGTTCTAAAACTCGGCTTCAACTTTCGGCTGCCACCGCCGAACTTTCACCTTTGTCTCCTGGCTTGTCTCTTAACTCACCGTGAATTACGCGCTTGTTCATCGTATACGCACGTTTTGACCGCACGGCTATTTTCTTCAACATCACGGCGACAAGCCTGAGGTCGAATGAAAGCAAAAAAAGGAAAAATAGAAATTCCGAATATATATATATATATATATATTATATATTAGGTGTACAAATGAATAATCTACATTTTTCAGCTGAATTCAACGTTTATTTTAAAAGAAAGTAAAACAAATTTGTCAATCAAAATATTCGACGTTGTTTTCTATGACTTTAAGCCATCTTTCAGGCAGTTGATGAATTCCATGTCGGAAAAATATTGTGTCTTTGGACACGATAAAGTCGACAAGCTATTTTCGGATCTCATCCACTGATTTGAAGTGCGTACCGGACAAGGCATGTTGCATCGACCGGAACAAGTGGTAATCGGTACATAGAGAGAACGATTTAGTTGAATCTAACAAACGCTGCTTTGGAATGGTCCAAATAAATTTTTTGGTTGACCGAACAAAGTTTTGCTTGACGCAACAAAAACATTTCGTTGGAACTAAGCTACAACAAGATATTTTTGTTGCGTCAAACAAAACTTCGTTCGATCAATCAAAAAATTTATTTGGACTATTCCAAATAAGCATTTGTTAGATTCAATTAAATCGTTCTTTCTGTGTAGGAACGATATCTGGTGAACACTCCGGGTGTTACAAGACGTTCCAGCCAAGACTGATTATAATGTCTGTCGTCCTAGAAGCAATGCGTGACCTAATCATGCAACAATTTCACAGGACGTTCTCCTTTGCTACTATATGGGCGTTTTCGTTCTAGTTCTTGATTTAAACGGATTAATCGATGTCGGTAGCGGTCCGCAGTAATTGTTTCATTCGGTTTTAATAGCTCATAATAAATCACGCCCTTTATATCCCACCAAATGCAGAGCAGAATCTTCTTTCCGAAGTATTTTGACTTTGCAACCGATGTTACTGGTTCGCCGGGAGTTACCCATGACTATCTGCGTTTCGGATTCTCATAGAGTATCCACTTCTCATCGTCCGTAACAATTTTCCATAAGAAAGATTTTCTACGCTGCTTATTGAGAGGAGAAAGACACACTATCACTCGTAGATCTTTGTTGGCTTCAGTTCATGCCCATTTTCCTTCTTTTTGAATCTTCCCCATTTCGTGTAAGCGTTTGGAAATAGTTTGTCGCGTTACTCCTAACTGCTTTGCAAAGTCTTTTTGCATTTGTGCTGAATTCTCAACGAGCAGTTGCGTTGTTCCAAATCATTATTACCGCACTTCCAAAGGCCTCCAGAACGTTCTTTGTCAGACTGAAAATCAGACTGAAATCGCCGTTTTTAAGCCGTCTAAACCAAAATGCACACACATTGTACGATACAACACTTCGCCGAGAAAGGAACAAATCGATTCGCATGCTCTTGCAGCATTTTTTCTTATTGGAACTCGTAAAGAATGTAGTATCGGATACGTAGCTTATCTGTTGCTATTTTTGATTGTATCGAACTGAATAATCTCTGAGGTTATGTTGAGTCTTCCGCCATACTAAATGTAATTTTTAACAGCTACATGTCAACACTACATAGCCGTAATAGAGTGGGAAAATTTGATTATTTGAAACTTAATTTCTTAGCCGCCTAAAACAGTTTGGATTATTCATTTGTACACTTAATATATATTGTATATATATAGAGAGAGTCCTCTTTTTTTCACGCAAAGGTCGCGTTAGGCCGGAAAGACGTCTTTATTGGGTGTCCGCTATCGATTCGTGGGACACGCGGTGTGTACGCGTGGGTCGATTTGCATAAAACCTTGAATCGCGATCCCGGGAG